AAACTATAGTTAAACAGTAGTTTTTATTTACTGAAAGTTATTACTACTCTTTGTTTGAAATTATTATTACTATTTACTGGAAATCATTATTATTATTTGTTATAACTTATTATTACTATTTTTATTACTATTTTTATTACTATCTTTTATTACTATTACTTATTATTTATTAGGAAATTCTTATTACTATTAGATATGGCATCATAATGCTATAATTTGCTATAATTTATAGTTTATTATGAATATTTTTATTCTAATTATTACAAGCCCATTTTCCTTATAATATTTCTTCTATATAATATATATTAGGATTCTTGAAGTAACTTATCATATATATTTTTTTCTTATATTATTATTTTTTTTTCTTACAATTCGTTGAATTGTTGTAATTACCTCGACTTGTTGTAAATAATATTTAAAAATTATCATTGTAAATTACTTCGGTTTTCAGGACTTTCTTGATATATCTCTGGTATATTTTCTTTAATATTGATGTTCATGTTTTTTTTGTTTTTTTTTACGAATTTTGGACAAACAAAAAAGTTTTTTCTCTCATGTTTTTTTGTAAGGGAGAGTTTTTAATTCTCTGAAATTTAATCTGTAATTCTGAATTAATTAAATAAAAGACGATTTATTTTGTTTTTTCTTAAGTTATGTTATATAATTCCATTGAATTGTGTTATTTTATTGATCTTGTTTTTTTTATTTTCATATTTTATAACTCTAATGAATTATATCATGTTTGCCTAAATTATACATCATTATTGATTATGTGATTATATGTAATATAATATGTAATTATATGATTATATGTAATATTATATATGATTAACTAATTATATGTAATTAATTATATGATTGTATGTAATTAATTCGATATTAAGCAATCACTACTTTTTGTGTTGCAATTTTCGATGTATTTAATTCGTTTTTTTATAATATATATTGCATATATTTTTTTCTCTCTCTTTTTTCCTTTTTTGCTGCATTTAGTCGCTTATTAATGATTAATCATTATTTTTGCAATTTGGAATTTTCGCTCCAGTTATTTCGGCCGATCCAATTTTTCTTTTTTCTTTTTTTTTAGCTTATTATTGTTAATGTCACATTTATCATTATTTTTAATATCATAACTATTATTGTTTTTAATGTCATATTTATTATAAACTATTATTATTATAATTATTATTATTATTATTATTATTATTATTATTATCATTATTGTTATTATTATTATCATTATTGTTATTATTATTATTATTATTATTATTATTATTATTATTATTATTATTATTAAAATTATTGTTGATGTCATATCTATCATTACTTATTAGCATTTCTAATATCTATTTTAATTATGTATCTATATGGATTATATAAATCAACTATGTTTGTTTCCATAGGATTGTTTTTTTTTCTCTCTTTTTTTTAATTATTATTCTGAAATTTGTTTATTTTGTTCCTGATATTTTAGATTTATTTTTATTCTCATTTTTATGTGTTTTGTGTCTGTGTGTGTGTTTTGTTTATTTTATTTTGATTTTCGTTTTACTTTTCTGCTCTTGTTTTATTTTAACTTTTGTTTATCTTTTATTGAATTTTGCCTTTGTTTGTAAATCTATTTTTGTTTTTATTCTTTTTTGTTTGTTTGTTTTGTTTGGATTTTTTTTTCATTCTTTTCTAATTTGTTTCTTTGGTTTTGACTTTTGATTTTAGTTCAAGTTTTCTTTGTTTCGTATTGAATCCGCTTTATTTGTTTTTCATATGAATTTTGTTTTTGTTTTTCTCTGAATTCTGTTTTTTGTTTTTTATTGTTTGTTTTACTTTCAATCCAGTCAATGTCTTTGATATAGCAAATTACCTATCATTATTACCTATCATTATTATTTTCACAACAACAGCTACTGATTCTTACCCTTATATTTGTACATTTATCATATATACCTTATACTTTAAATACTTCTTCCCTTATACCTTACCTTATGCCTTATACCTTTACACTTAACCTGTATACCTTATACCTTTATACTTAACCCCTTGGTGCCGGGTATGACGGGTACGTACGTGCTATGCCCACAGTGAGTACTTGTTTGATTGTTTTTACGCATAGATGGCAACACTTGTACTAACTCCCCAATGAGCCAGTTACGAGCACCGCCCGTCTCGCCCGTTTACTCGTTTCTTTGATTTACAAAATATTTTACGTAATCTTATTTTGCTGTTACTAATGTTAAAAAGAATTATAAAAATTATAATGTTTTACGATAAAAATTAACACCATCGATTTTCATAGCACTAGTGAAAAATACGTTTTTCACGCCATTTAAATCAGGCGCTAGCAGAGCCATCTATCGGCAGACATTTCACGAAAAACATAGAAAGTGGGCACAATATTTTCCCCATTTTTTGTTCATTTTCCCCGGCACCATTGGGTTAACCTGTATACCTTATACCTGTGTACTTATCTCATATATAGTTTATACCTGTACACATAACATAGATATTTTAGGCCTTATATCTGTATACTTAAACACCCTTTACCTTATATCTGTATACTTAAACACCTTATACCTTATACCTGCGCAGTTATCTCATATATCTCCTACCTATATACTTACCTTATATTCCTTATACCTTATACTGTGGCGTTTTAAAGGGTTATTAGAAAAATGAGAGAACTGGAAATGGTTAGTGGTTAATGAGTTAATGGAAATGGTTAACTGGTTAATGGTTAACTGAGAGAACTGAAGATGGTTAATGGTTAATGAGTTAATGGTTAACTGGTTAATGGTTAACTGAGAGAACTGAAGATGGTTAATGGTTAATGAGTTAATGGTTAACTGGTTAATGGTCAACTGAGAGAACTGATGATGGTTAATGTGTTAATGATTTAAAGAAATGATGAAAATGCTAAATAGAAAATACTTGTCTCTATATCTGTGGAAATATATTTGTTAAATGAAGGATATATAATGTACAGTGATGCCCAGTTTGACACGTAAAAGGGACATTTTTCAAAAGCCTTCTTATACAGTTTATAAAACTGTAGGAGGATATTAAAATTAAGTATAGTAATTTAAGGTTCAGTTATCAATGTCTATTGATTTCTCTCCATCTTTATCGACATTTCCTTTGCCATAATAGAGAGTGGTGGTGTTTATCCATTTAATTTGTTGCTGATACAAGTTATAAACGTGTAATACCTCTTTTGTTTTATATTGATGAATATCCATTCGACACTTAAATAGCCATTTAACATTTCCCAGTCATTAGGACAAATATAAAAAATTGAATCCATTTATAGGTAATAAAATAATGTTTATGTAAAAGATCTGTACATTTTCATTGCTATTTTGATAAATTATATATATATATATTTTTTTTTACTGTATAGTCGGATAAAAACTATAATTAACTTTACTTGTGTTCAATAAGGAGCTGAACGCCTCTTTGTTAAACACCTGATTACAGTGCTAACTACTTTGCATCTTTATTCCACACCATTTCGTTGATTTTTCATATTAGTTTGTGCAAAGATTAACGATACTTACCTTTCTGACTGTACATTTAAATTGAAATATATATTTCCTCGCGTTTAAGTACTGGTTTCGCCGGCATAATGGAAAGTATATATATTTTTTGTTATATAAACTGTTTATTTTATTACAAAGTAATGTTCCTCACGGCCTCACAATAATATATGTCTTTGATATAATATAATTCAATAGTATTAAATATAAATATCCTTATTGGAGAGACAGGGCAGTTTACCATATCTTAAGCCAGTTAGGAATTTCTCATCGTATGTTGAAATTAAATATTACACAAGTTTATGTCTTTCTTTCTTATATTCTTTAAGGTGTTTGAGTACATCTTAATGCCCATTAAGTCTTGGACTACTTATGAGAAAATGTCTTTTATCTGGACGTCAGAATGGTTTCTTTGTACAGTTTTGAGTTTAAAATTTCTTCTTTGTTTGAGAATTCAGCTTGAAAACTGTGCTCTCGATACGCTCGCTGGCAAGTCTTAAATGGGCTTTAATAATCACGAGAAAAATCCTGACTGTCTGAGGCTACGATCCCCAGCGTGTGAAGAGTCTTGATGCATAATGGGTGAAGTCTGGGGAACGGACCCTTCCCACCCCTTTCCCGATCTCTCTCTCTCTCTCTCTCTCTCTCTCTCTCTCTCTCTCTCTCTCTCTCTCTCTCTCTCTCTTACACACACACACAGACACACACATACATATACGCACATATACAAATCACACTCATAAAAACAAACATGAACAAACACACACGTATACAAGTAAATACAAACAAATACACGCGTATACAACAAACAAACACGTATGGAAACAAGTAAACAGACACACACATATACAAACAAACAAACAAACCGAGCCCACGCGCCCTCTCACCGCTGGGCTCGCTCTCTGAACGGCCGCGTGAAAGTGATCGTGGCTCCGGAAATGATCATGTCAGGCAGGTCTTCGTCGTCGCCGAAAAGCTCTTCTGCATGCGTCGCCGTTAGCTCTGGTTCTGTGAGCTTCGCGGCCGGTTCTGGCGTCGCTGCTGCCGGTTCTCGAAGCTTCGAAACGGGTTCCGTCGTGCGTTTGGCGTGGGTTCGCTCGGCCGGGTTCGATTCGTGTTCCGGTCCGATGATGATGATGGCGCCCGGTTCCTGTCCGAGGCCCGGGATGACGATGGCTTCGAACTCCTTGCTGGAGTCCGACGCGAGGAAGGCCTGCAGGTCCTCGTCGGCCTCGGGGGCAGGGGAGGGCTCCGATTTCTCTTCAGTGGCTAGTCTCAAAAAGTTCTGGAGCTCCTCGTCGGTGCTGGACCTCAGGAACGCCTCGAACTCGTCGTTCGAGCTTGACGATAAGAAGGATTCGAGTTCCTCCAGTGTTTTGAAGTCTTGGGGCGGCTTCGGCTTGGGTTCGGCGCGGGATTCGGAACTCACAAGGGACTTCGGATGCTGGACGACGTCATCCGAGCTCGTCC